GTGTCTGAGCTGCTGTTCAGAAAGTGACTTTGCCATTTGCAGCTTGCTACCTTCCTCCTGATTTCACAGCAGCAGGGAGGGACATGTGACCGTGGGACAGAGCCTGAGTCCAGAGAACCAGACCTTGGAGGAGAGGTGTGCCAGTGATGTGGCTCCAAGGACTCCTCCTGGTCCCTGCAGAGCACTTACAACTGTCACAGCCAGCATTCCTGCTGGGTCCTGACACATTTAACCCCCATGCGAGGGTTAAATATATCTGCGCAAGTCGAGATCCGTCCAAGGCCAGACATAGTCAATGCAATATTCTCTCTTCAAGAAAATTTCTCACTGTTCCAGTTGTTCCAAACATAGTTCTGTCGTAGGAAATCTCCATAGAAAACCTTGCTGGTAGTGACACAGGAAAACCTTCTCGTTCCATATCCCTGAAGCTAGAACATGATGCAGAAGTCTCACAAAGACACCACTTGTTGCTATAACAAAATGTATAAGAGCAGGTAGTTTACAAAGGAAAGAAGTTTTATTTGACTGTGATCCTGAAGGTTGAGAAGTCCAACATGTTCCTGCTAAGCCTCATGCTGCTTCAACTTATGAAGGGTATCCATGAAAAGAAAAGGGCAAAAGAAGGTGGCCTCACTAATCTACTATAGAACGCATTCAGCCCTCAACAGCACTCACTTAATGTCCTCATAAGATCCCACCCCCCAGCATTGCCACAATGTTGACAAACTCCAACATGAGCTTCAGAGGAGCCGAACTACATTCGCACCATGGTAGATACCAATGGAGGTCTTTAAAAGGCCCATTGTCATCCCATGCATACTGTCCAGCTCCTGAAGAGCAGGATTTTACAGAAGATACAGCTATACCTTTGGAGAGACAGACAACATAGTCACGCAGACACACAGCAAAATTAAATTCTAAAGGCAATGTGCAAATACCTTCAGCTCAGAAAGAAGGAAGGAAAATATGATATTAACAGTGGTGCCCAGGAGGACTAAGAAAAAGTTAAACATCTCCTTCTCTATGTTGTAATTTACAATTATAACAAATTCTATACCACTAACGTTCATTAAGCCCCTTCTCTGTACCCGACACCATGCTGAGAAATAAACACAGTCCCTGCTCAAAGAGTTCCCAACTAGCTGAAAAAAAACACCCGCACCACCAAATAACCACAATATAAAGCAGACTATAATAGAGATACGAAATCGCAGAAAAATAATAGGGCTTTTTGTTTTGTTTTTTCAAGAACCACAAAGTTTAAGGATTTACTAAGGCTTCCAGTGAGGTCAAGGGCTAATTGGCAATCTTCAGAGTTTAACAACAGATGAAATGAAAACAGAATTTCTCATTCCCCAAAATAAAACACACTGAATTATAGCTGCAGATACCTGTTTGGTATTCCTAGAAATGATCTAAACATCGTTTTTACATTTATGACCTTAAAATATTCTATAATAATAGGTGAGAAGTCTGGAGAACAAATCAAAATAAAGAACCGCCATCTTTCGCCTCACCATTGGTTTTTCTCTCCCTCAGCCTCAGAGCTCACCAAAGGCTCCATTTCTTGGGTTCCATGATAGAAAGGTTTCTGCCCAGGAGCCGGCCTGAAATGACTCAGGATAACAGTCTTCTAAAAACACTTAAAAGGATTTACTGCCCATATTTATTCATGCCACAAACAGATGAAGTGCTTGCTGTGTGCCTTCCACCCTACCGAGCTCTAAGATGAAAAGCTAAGCAAGACAGAGGCTCTGCTTTAACACACTCACAGTCCTGAGATACAGTGCAGAGAAGGAAGGGCAAGTTAGTAAGCGAATAAGGACATGTGGACATGAGCATGGCCCTCGTGGTATTATGCCCAGGCTATGTAAAGAGGCATCCAAATACTCCTCCTTATCCAGGAAACAAAGGACAGGCCAGAAAGCACCTGATATTTTAGGAAGAGTCAGGTGGCCTCGCACATGAAAGTTTATTTCTTAACTGGCCTTTTCTATCAAGTCTCTTCCCTTTCTAATTCATCTCCCATTGTACCCAGTTTAATCCTGGGTTATTCCCGTCCTCACAGATTTGTAATGCCTCATACCCTTGGTTATCAGATGAAGCCAGACTCCATGGGATGGCACCCAAGCACTCCACAATTAACCCTCCCCCGGCTGCTCCAGAAGAAAAGTGAGTCAAAGATGTAACATTGGAACAAAAACACTAAATCTGCCAGCACACAAATTAGGTAAGGCTCCTGAAGGCATGAATGTAGGAAAAGGCTTTCTGAACAAAACCCCAGTTGCACAAGAGGTAATACCAAGAACCAACAAATGGGAATCACGTCGAATTAAAAAGCTTCTGCACAGCAAAGGAAACCATGAACAGAGTGGAGAAGAGCCTACAGAAAGGGAAAAGCATTGGCCAGCTGCTCCTCAGACACAGGAATAATATCTAGAATATATTAAGAACTCAAAAACTTAAACTCCTCAAAGTTAAAGGCCCGGTTCAAAAACAGGCATCTGAAATGAATAGATACTTCTCAGATTAAGTACAAATACCCAGTGAATATATGAAAAAAAGTTCCACATTGTTGGCCATTCAAGGAATACAAATTAAGGCAATACTGACATTCCATCTCACTCAACAAAGAATGGCTGCCATCAAGAAATCAACCAATAACAAATGCTGGTGAAGCTGTTGGGGAAAAGGAACACTTTTCAATTATTGATGGAACTGTGAAGTGGTATAATCACTATGGAACTCAATATGAAGACTCTTCAAAAAACTACACATAGAAATTCCGTTTGATCCAGCTATTCCCATTCTACATATCTTCCCCAAAGAGTTAAAGACATCATGGCATAAAATGTGTGTTCCCATGTTGACAGCAGTGCAATTCTTAATAGCTAAATCCTGGAAACAGCCTATAGGTCCATCAACAGATAAATGGATTTATAAAAATGTGGCATTTATACACAATGAACTATTACTCTGCCATGACAAGGATAAACGAGTCATTTGTAGGGAAACTGATGCACTTTGAGAGAATAATGTTAAATAACTCAGACACACAAGCTTAGGTATCACATGGTTTCCCTTATATATAAAACAGATAATAGAAAAAAAGAGAAGAAGCAGAGGTATAATCCACTGGGGACAATATATTGGAAAGTGTACCTTGATTTGGTACACGCGACTTACATGTTTTATATATCCTTTGGCCTGTTAGTCTAGTCTTCAATCTGTATATACGATAATTAGCCTGATAACATCTTATGAGATGAATAAATGAATCTGATGCTTGGAAAGTAAAAGCAAGTGGGAGGAGGGGGAAAAAGAAGGGAACTGAAATGTGTTGTGTACCAATTCCCCAGTTAAATGCAATCATGATGCACTCAAATGTGGTAAGAAAAGTCAAAAAAATAACATTCAGATGAGTATAAAAGTTAGGATTTCTTTCAAAAAATTTAGGACAACAAAAAAAAAGAGAGAGAGACTAGAAGGAACTAAGTTGTGACATACGTGGGAGAGACAGAACACATACATGAGTCACACCTAGAAGCCAGAAAGAAGAGACGAGAAGGCCTAGGGGAGCCTCGCTACCCGCTAGGGTTGAGCAGACAGGCAAATGTGTGGCCCCCGACGTGGTTCCCGTGTGCCCCTCTTCAGCCCCGAGGTTCCCCCGCACCTTCACATGCTCCCAGCCCCCAAACACTCTGGAGTCCATGGAGATCGTGGGTCACCTGGGCAAAATGACCCGTGCTTTCTACAGTGCACCACTGTCTGTGTCTTTATTTCTGCCTGTGTGAAACTCCAGCCATAATTCAAGTCTCTAGGTCTTCAAGCTATTTCCTGAAACTGCTGAAATCCCTTCTATTCCTGGGGGGGCGGGGGGGTTTACACCTCACTGACCACATGTGTCCTGCTCTGCATTATAGTGATATTATTGTGTTCATGTGGCAATATCTGAATGTGCCCCTTAAGCTCGTGTTTTAATACTAAATTTATAATATTAACAAATGGGGCTTCAAGAGGTGATGAAGTCATGAGGGTGAGGGCCTTGTGGGTAAGTTTAGGGTCTTCATCAAAAGACTTGAGGGAGTGGATTTGCTCTTTTCCATCCTGCACACCTCAAAGTGCCATCAAGGAAGCAAGGGCCAGGCCCTCATCAGATAGAGAAGCTGGTGTTGCAATGGCCTTGGGCTTTCTAGCCTCTCCAACTAGGCGAAACACATTTCTACCATTTGTAAATTACTTAAAGTACCACAGGCATCACTGCCATCCACCAACACAAACTCCATGAGTAACCAGGTTGTATTCTCCCATGCATCTTTGCATCTGCAAATATTTGCCTGAGAGAACAGGGCTGCTGCAGATAATGCTAACATCAAAGGCTTGTTTAGTCCTCAGTTCTGGGCTGTCTTCTGATCATTCAATTCTAGAGATGGTTCTCTTTCCTAGCAAAGGATCAAGTTTGCATCACTGGTCCAAATGATACAAGAGAACCAAGGTTAGAATTCACACCTTAGAAGGTTTAACAATATTATCGAGACTCATATGAGTTGCATATGTGCCCTCCTCCAATCTCTACAAGAAGTCTGGCATGTTTCCCCAAGTCCAAAAATGCCAATTCTAAGACCCAATATTTCTTTACAGAACACTAAAAATGAAAAAGTGAGGTCAATTAAACATTGACAGGTGCTAAAACACAGTGCTGCATAAAGGCATCCTGATTTCAGAAGTGTTAAGCATGAGCAGAAAGGGTGCTTCAAAATCCCTGTATTATAACTGAAGGAACTAAAGCTTAGACAACCGCCCCTCCTCAGAAGCCAGGGGCAGAGCTGAGAGGTGAACTTGGGCCAGTTGGTTCCAAGAATGGTACTCAGTCCACAATAGCAGCACTTTGCCCCATCTGTTTCTTGGGTTTCTAAGACAAAGCACAACCACAACAGGTTGAAATAAAGAAACAAAGACCAAGCGCTATACCCAAAGCCGAGGCTGTGTAATGCACTGACCTGAAACCCACAACTTACTGGTCCTTGATGAAAGTGGGGGGAAACTTCTGGCTGCAGCTCCTCCTCTGTGGGTGTTGTGGTTCGGCATCAACAGGGATAACAGGAATTTACTTTTCTTCCACACCTGCTCTCTTCCTTGCTTTAGTGAACGGTGGCGGTGATCACAGCTTTTCTCCAGGGGAAGATGAGGGAGGGGCTGTAATGAGGGGAAGGAAGCAGCTCGTGTTCACTGCCCTCAGCTAAATTGCATTTGCCCTCTTTTGCATAGAGCAATAAAGTGTTCTAGAAAATGCAGCATAGATTTTTAATTTTCTCCTTGTCACAGGGTGCTGTAATCACATAATTAATCAAGTGCTAGAGATAGTCATTTATAGCAAATGGGCAAAACAATCACAGAGGTTAAACCAGCAGAGGACCAAACAGGTACATTTGCCTCTCAAAAAGTCAAGTGTGGACAGCGAGCATCACCATTCCTTGGTTATTTGGGACCCAGAACTTGAAAAATGCAGCAGTCTGGTAAAGGGAGGGCACTGAGTTTGCCCTTTAAGGCAATGAATTGTATGGTTTCAGCTGTTCAAGAGTCATTTAAAGGGACAGGGTAGGAAGCAGAGCCCAAGGCCAGAGGCCAGCAGCTATCCTGTGCATGCTTCGGTGCTCCCCGCCACCCCGCAGGTGAGTGTTTCCTTGATAAGAACCTTTGTTCACGCTCTCCACTCCACCTGAAACACCTTTCCAACCTGCTGAACTGCTGCCTTCCCTGTAAGCCTGGCCCATGTGCTGTCTCTGCAGGGGCTTCCCCACCTGCCACAGCCCAACCACATCACCTATGGCCCATAATCCCCCATTTCCACCACTAATAAAACAAGCAAAAAGCACACAGACACACACAGACACACACACACACACACACACACACACACACACACCTACTGCTGCCACCACCAGATGATCCAGGGCAGAAACTCATATAATCCTGTTAAGGCCCAGAAAGGTTTTGCTTATTTATCTCCTTCTGTAGAAAGACAGGAGTCCTGTTCTTACCTCTCCAGGGTTGTACAAATTATGAAGATAAACAAATACCCAGTTCCTAAGATCCAAGGGTGAAAATCAGTAGGGAATTTCCAGGGATGCTTTGACCAACACCAGAAATCCCCACCACCACCACCTCCGTGTCACTTCCTACAAGTTTAGCCATAGATGCCTCCAAGTCCCACTTATGTATTAAGATTGCCTCCTCTGTGAAACAGTTCCCCTTTAAAATACAACACCCTTGGGAAAGGCAGCAGGCGACTCACTGTGTCACAAACCTCAGTGTAAGTCAGCATATATTAAACCTTTCTGTCCTGAAATAGGAAGCCCAGAGAGCAGAAAACATTTCTCACCTGAGAAAAGGGAGCAAGAGATCCACAGAGAGGGATGTCTGAGAGGTGAGAAGCAGATGCTGAGAGACACTAAGGAAGAAATGTTTAGCCTGGGAATTTACCTCAGAGGTTCAAGTGCTTGCCTGGTGAGTGCAAGGTTGTGAGTTCAATCCCTGGTACTGAAAAAAAAAAAAGTGTTCATACAGCAGATGCATCCAAGTGGGAATCATTCGTTCCTCCACATCACCCTCATAAAACAAGTGCTATCAATAGTAGTATTTTCATTTCACGGATGACAAAGAAAGGTTAAATAATTTGCCCAAGTCTAAGTGAAGTTGCTAGAATCCAACCTGAGACCTGTCTGCAGCTAACCCCATGTCCTTTCCCTATACAAGGATGCAAAGTACAAAATTGCTTTCCTCCCCTCCCCAGTCTCATGCTTTTGCCTTATTCCCTCCATCAAAACCTGCTAGAAGTAAAGAGTCTAATTATGCATCATTTACACCTGAGAGATGAGATCTATAGACAGCTCAGAAAGAAAAGACAAATCCATTAACTTAAAAATCGCATGAATGGTGGTGAGATAGTCTTAAGTCCCTTTCAAGAGTGTCTGATGCCGAAGGGACATAAGTGGTGTAAGGTTCTCTGTGCATCTGTGAGCAGGGTGAGGCCTGGAGAAAGCAAAGGTAGCAGGTAAGAAAACTTCTAGAACACTGAAAGTCATCCCTGCCTCAGTGAAAAACTGAGAACAAAACGATTTCAATCCTCAAAAAGAAAGGTGAGCACATAACTAAGAGGCATCCAATAAGCTTTCTTGACTTTGTTAACCCAGGGGCCCTTCTCAGCAATGTAACTAAATAGTTAGAAGAGAAACCTGAAAGAGAAAAGCTTTATTTTGGCAATCCGTGGTCACTTGTCTCTGCTGTTTCGGGGTGTGTGGGGAGGCGGAGCGTCGTGGTCGAGATTCAGTGGGGGCAGGGGGGGTATCATAGCTGACCAGAAGACAAAGAGAGCCCAAGAAGGACTCAAGGACAAAATGCACTCCTCAAGGTCACACCCATGACCAGGCCTCACCTCCTAAGTTTCTAGCAACCCCATCAATGTCATCAAGATTGAATCCACAGTGGATTAATCCACGGTACAGTTATAATCTTTATGATCCAGTCTCCCTTCCAAAACCCCAGCTCCAAACACATGAAACTTTGAGGAAACATTTTAGATTTAAACCATTACAAACCCCTCCTGGTGAACATGCCCTCTTACAAACCTAAGCAGAGAAAACACAGAAGCTCCCTGTTACGCCTTTCCATCAACCAAGCAATTTTAGAGGAACCTGGACAACATGTCTTCTAATAGACATCATGGTCTAGACTGCTAAATGCTGCTCTGGACACTTCCCAGGTCCAGTTCGCTCTTTTTGTTTTAAGATGTGGCCTTCTTCCTCTCGCTCACATTTTGCTGCCTATATTATACTTGACATGCACAATTTAAAGGAGAACAAGTTCATTCCGGCTCACAGTTTCAAAGCTTTCAATCCATGGATGGCTGCAACTCCAAGCCAGGAACATCATGGCAGAAAGACATGGAGGAAGAAAGGTGCTCAACTCAAGGAGCATCCAGAAGCAGAGAGCAGGGGAACAGTCAGAGGGAAAGGGACAGAGATGGTATAACAGTCCCTGAGGTCATGCCCGAGGGACCCTCCTAGACACACCCACAGTGGGCCCTGCATCTCTCAACCAACCAAGTGGATACTCAAAACTAGCCAGCTAAGCAAGACAGAGGCTGAGGCCCCAGGTGCTCCAGCTGGGTTCCTGTTCTATGAAGGAATTGCCTTCTAGCGCTTAAAGCAGGTGAGAAGAACCCAAGTCCAGGTGTGCTGCAAGCTTCGGAGCTTGCTTTCCCTAGGTGTGTTCTGAGCTCTCATGGGAAAGCTCCTCCCACAAGCTGATCTACCCCAAGACTCAGACATACAGCAAAACCTGCCCAGAGAACTGGCCACTCATGTCTCAGAAGAAAAGCAACAAGCTAGAGATGCTGAACAGGCTCCTCATTGGGAGAGATCCTATACTTTCATTATTTCACCTATCAAACAGATCTACAGAAAAGCTGTGTTTCTCCTCATCTGTTTTTTCTACTGCTCTTATTTCTAGCTGAAATTAGAATGCTAACTACCAGGTTACTCAGGCATAGTCTGCCTAACCATTCTCTCTCTTACGGCTACAGTGGAATTGTCAAGGAAAAAGTCAGGCTGGACTGTGGTCACAGACGCTAAGGCTTTCAAGCATCAGCTCTGCCTGGGTAACTCAGTGAGATCCGTCTAAAGTGAAATATGTGATAAAATAAAATGGAATGGAATACAAAGGGCTCAGGTGAAGCTAGGGCTCAGTCTGTCCATCGCTGGACCTGTGACCTGATATACCCATCCGGGGGAGTTAACTTTAAAATACTATTAACCTCTCCTGGCCTTCTATACAACCAATTCCATCCTTCAAGCCACCCAGAGGCCTCGGAGACCACACCAAGCCCTTCTTCACAAGTTGCCTTAAATTTTTCCCACAACCATCATAATTCCCTTTAAACAAGCAATATAATTGCCATCCTCTTGCAGTTTGCAGCCATAAATATACCTGCCATGTTTTTAAAAACCACAGGACACATTTTCAAGATTATCTGTCTTTTCTCGGATTACAATCCCAATTAATCCTAAATTACTGTAATTTTCTTTGTTCTAGAAGAAGTTGATTTTAATCCCAGGTCAACAAAATATAAATTCTGTGAAGCAGAAAGGGGTCCTCTTTCCCACTGCATTCCTTGAAGCTAGAAAGATGCTGTGGGGTGAATAAATATTTGTGAAGCAAATAAACTTTGTAAATAGTAAACCAAAGTGCAAATGATTTAAATAATTAAATAAAACGTTCAGAGTCATTATAATACATGGAGTGCAGCTATTTATAAATAAATCAGGCTTAACTGATACTAAAACCATGCAGCATCTTTCCTCTCTACAATGGGGGAAATGGCTTAAGCCCCAACCTCCTTGCCCAATCCAGCAATGGTCAACAGGAGCTCAGCCCCTTCCCCCAGGATCCTCTGGGTAGAAGCATCACTGCCTGGGAAATGTAGGACCAGGGATCATAATATCCTGAGCTGCAACTGTCCTGTGCAGCCTGAGTACCTTTGGCTCTATATGCTGTGGGATAATCCCAGTCAGGAAAACCCAGTGATGGATGATTCTAAAGATGTATACATGAGGAAATGTGACCGTGACTGATGTTTAGAGCAACAGTTATTAAAGCGTGGCTGCAGATTAGCAGGCTCAGCACCACCTGAGAACCTGTCATCAGTGAATATTCTTGAGCACTTTCCCCTAGTTTTACTGAATCAGAAACTGAGATTGTACCCATCAATGTGTGTGTTTTTTTAATCAATCTGTAGGTGATCTTGACGCTTATCAAAATCTGAGAACCACTTTTCTAGCAGATTACAGGAAGGAGAATAATGACAAATGCTGTCATTTATGAATAGCTCTTTACTCTCATTGAGACTCCAGTAATAATGAAGGCAAGAAGCAGGGCGTGGTGGCACATGCCCATAATCCCAGCAGAGGCAGGAGGATTGCTGTGAATTCAAAGCCAGCCTGGGCTGCATAGTGAGTTCAAAGCCAGCTTGAACTGCATAGGAAGACCCTATCTCAAACCCAAATAATAACAACAGCAATAAAAAATAATCAAATATCATGCAGATTCAGAATGGCAACCTGACAAATCTCAGTTCCCCTCTTTATGGCTTCTTTCTTGCAGTGCCCTGTGCTGTGGTCCCAAGGACCCCAGAAAATGGAAAGCAGTCAGTCCTAATGATGTCTTTGACCACCCCAAATTTTAATTTCCCAAGCACATTCTTCAGACCAGCTTCACCTAGAGCAAGCTCAGAGTTTCCCTGAAAAGAGAGAAGGCTGTTGCTTTCTCCCTGTCCTACCCTGGCTTTAAAACTGTTTTCCTCTGTCCTACCCTGCTGACTTTAATTAGGAGGAGAGAAGGTGGCATGCAGACCAGAGATAGCAGGCACTCTCACAAAAAGGCGTTTAAGAAACAGCTTTGGTAATCAGAGGTCACCATGCCTCTGTCTCCTTCTCCTCCTTCCTTCATCCTGGCTTCTCCTTCCCTATCTTGTTTATCTCACCACTTACCCCTCATTAGTTTGAAAGAAGCCACCAGCTCAGACTCCTGTTGCTGTGGGCAGGGTCCTGCCTTTGCAATAGGTTGAGGACTGGGAAGTCACAACAGAGGGAAAGAGTGCCTGTGCAGCATCAGCTGTAATTAGGCTTCTTATAAATATCTATTATATGAATGCATTAGAATGACAAAGTCAGGCACGTGTGAATCACGCAGTCAGACTCTGGGCAACAGAGGGTCATTTTTTTTTTTTTTGAACCCATGAGGAATCTACTGTATTTAAAAGAACATTAAATATACATTACTAAGTGAAAATAGTCAATCTGAAAAAGACTGCCTACTTTTTCATTCTGACTATGTGACACGCGGGCAAAGCCAAAACTACGGAGACTTTTTAAAAACTCATCAGTCGCTTGGGGTTGAGGAGAGGAGAGGATGAATGCTCCAAGCAGAGAGTTTTCAGTTTGGCGAAAGCGCTTAGTGCAGCACTGTGATGATGGATCCACGTCACTACACATTTGTCAAAACCCATCCAGCGTGTGCCACCTGGAGCCCGAGTATAAACGGTGGACTTGGGGCGATAACGATGTGATGTGTCACCATCGGTTTATCAGCTGTAACTAACTACCACCCGGTGGGGGCCGGCCACCATGGGGGAACTGTGCATGCCCAGGGACTATGGAAATGCTTGGTGCTTTGCTCTCCATTTTTTTTTTTTTTTTTTGTGAGCCTACAATTGCTTTATAAATGAAGTTTTTATTCTATCTGTGTATTTTTAAAGTGTTACATTCTGACTCAAAAGGTATGAACGCTAATCCTTAATGTGCTTGTGGTCACAGGCTAGCTGTGCAAATTTGCATGGGTGGAATGGCTTTTCTAGGTTTCGTGATACTACTATGAGACAAAAATAGTGTCTTCTCAACCAAAATGTCACAATGGTTAAAATGAAGCAGTGTATACAGAAGCATAACTAACATTTGGCTAAGTCAAGAATAGAAAAAATAACATTATATGAACACATCACATGCAATACTAATATACTATCATATGTCACAGAAAATAACATTATACCTGTTTACCATAACATACATACATAACATACATAACAAAATAACAGAAAATACAGCTTGAAATAACATAATAAGGTAAAACCAGGATTCTTGACTGCTATTCTGAGACAGGCAGGGCTACTCTACCTATGGTACTGATCGGAGAAATAGAAGTTCTTTCCTCTACTAATCCGGAAGATACAAGTTCTTCCCTCTAAGCTCTCTGCCACTGACCCCCACTGCCACTGAGTACGTTGGAAAAAATATGAGTAACCCATCTTAGCATAGATAAATAAATTATATTATCTACTTAAAAGCAGAGTCCTAAGAAAAGAGAATGCAGAACAGGTATGTTTTTCTGAAAGAGTTAGTGGAAAATCTGCATGTATCTTGAAGATTCAGGAATCATCTGAGAACACAGATTGAGTTTAGAAGGCTACATGCACAGTCAGAGGAGTTTTTTAAGGCAAGGCTAAGTAAGAGGGCAAATCTATCAAAAAGCCAGTTCGGAACCCATGCTGAGAGCCTGTTCTGTGGCCACCTCCACCTCCTTGGGGGTTTGGGATCTCATTGAGCAAAACAGGGACGCGTGGTGGAGGAACACAGAGTCAAAAATCAGCACTCCAACTAGGTAAGTTACACAGCATAGCAAAAGGTAACACACTCCACACACAGAATACAAAGAAGTAGCATAGTAGAGAGTGTACAGTAGGAAATTTTATTTCAAATAGGACGGTCAGGGTTGGACTAACGGAGACCAGCACCCAGCAGATCAGAAGCATTTCCTAAGCCCTCAGTTTCCCCAATGCAATGAACAGACAAATCCAAGGAAATACAGATTAAAGGAAGCATGTATCTTTAGTGACCCACTGCCCATATGAGAGTCCCCTGGTCCATTCCCTCCCAGCCTCCTTTGCCACTGCCCAAAAAGGACAACCGTTTAATTCCCAGAAGGTGCATCCAATCCAGTTGTGAATGACCTCATCAGAATGTGGAAAGCAATGCTTGTTTCCTCCCATTTAACCCTCTCCTGTCAAGCACTCTCCCTCCCAGATCATGGTAACCAACTCGCAGAGGGGTGTAAGGAAGTGAAGGGAAGTGGAAAAACACTTCATTTCCCAGGGGTATATGAGAGCCAAAACCCTAAACCAAGGCCAAAGTAATGAAATACCAGGCAGCAGTTTAAAGGGATGGAGAGGTCACTGGCCTCGGATGCTCATTATTTGCCTTGTGGGCCACAAGCGAAGAAGATTCCTTGATTCTTCTGTCCCTGCCTATCCTAAGAGATGCTCTGAAGGTGCCCTGAAAGACGTGTGCTTTGTGTGGGACACACTTTGCTCCCTGGGACTCTGCCCAAGTACATAGATAGTGAAACAAATGTTCTCTTTACCCTTAATCCCCATACAGTAAGCCAATTTGAAAAGTGCCAAACTGTAGATGCTGGCCTGTAGCTAGTATTAGAACAGGAGTGCAGCATGCACCAGGCCCTGGGTTCACTGAAAACAAAGGAAAAGGACATGTCACACAATAGAGACAGCCAAGAAGGCACCTTGCCATGGTCAGAGGCTCAGCCAAGCTTCCCTGTCAGCATGTCCCTAAGCCCAGGTGCTTGATAATAAAGGTAAATATAGAACAAAAATCCCAACCAATGGGTGTGTGTGTGTGTGTGTGTGTTGCTCACACAATAATAACCCCCAAATCCCTTAAGCTATCTGCCCACCCAGGGGTCACCCAGGCAACACAGCACAGTGCAGCGGAAGGGAGCCCTCTCCCACTGTGCCAGCAGGAGCCCCCCAGGGGTCTCTCAGACACCAGTCACTCACTCAGCGTGAAGCTGACAGCCACCTCCAGCAACAATTATAGCTCCTCCACGTTTGGGGGAAGCTGTAATGTTAAATCAATCAATCAGGTGTGCCAACGGCAGAGGCTCATGCTGCCAACTCACTTACTGGGTGTGAGGGAAGTAATCACCATTTTAGCTCCTTCTTGCTGTTTTATTCAGCTCCAGTCTGCTTTTCAAAGCTATAACACATCCATCCTTAGGAAAGTTTTCTCTCCCTGCGTGGTTTAGCGTTGTATTTGGCAAATCAGTAACTCACAGACAAACCACAAGTACTCTAAAACACTTTCACACTGCAATACACAGGCCTATGCAGGAAGTGGACATCCCATATCAGACATGCACACAAGGCCACCACATCCTCAGTGGCCATCCTGACCGGTCAGGTGGCTTAGGACCCAGTGGAAAGAAGTCAGCATTTTCAAAGAGAAAAAATGGTAGATCACGACATCCCCTTTTACAAACCTATAGGGCCCCGTGCATGAAAAAGATAGTGAGTTTGGTTTTGTTTTATTTTTAATGAAAAAAAGAGAACAAACAAAGCACCATAGTCCAATGTCCTACAGCATTGCACACTGCCCTGCAGGCTCTCATTCTAAAGCCATCTCATCTCTAGAAAATGAGTCTTGTTTTCTTCCCCACCCCAAGCTATCTCTCTGCAGTTCTGGGGATCAAATCCAGGGCTTAGAGCATGCTAAGAACCGCCTCCCCCCACCCCAGCTGCATCCCCAGCCCTAGGGCTAACTGGCCGTGAATCTTGTGGTCTCCTCCAGAGCCCACTTGGGCTTCCTCTTCTCCTTTTCCTGACCATGCACCTTCCCCACCCAACCCACATGCACTTAAAACAGAATCCAGCCCCCTTGCAGAAGAGTCTAGAGACGGCCAGACCACCTTGTAAAACCGCTCAACGCCATCGAGGCACTGGGGCTTTTTAAACAAAAAATAACGGATCTGTTAGAAGAGAGAAACTCAGACTTCTGGTCAGTGGTTTTTAACACTGCAGACCCAGACAGAAGTCAGGCCCAGTACACAAACAAGCCCAGAGCTTAGGTCCGTGCTGCAAAGCTTGAACACAGGGCGCCTCCCTCCTCCGCACCGAGCTCCTCCCCTGTCCAAAAACCGAAGCGCAGCTTGGCAAGCTCGGAGCCCTGAGTCCGCGTTTAACATGTGCACACGCGAGACCTCGGAGGCCCTCCGCGCACGTGGGCATCGACCCGCCGAATGCGGTGAAGAAGGACCCACTGTGCGCCGAGGGGACCGGAAGGAGCGGTTTCCCGGGAAACAATAAGCCTTATTAGTAGCTGTTAAATGAATCAAGAATCACTCCGTGGCCAGCAGCAGACGGGCGAGGCCGCAGCCAGCCAGGGAGAGGACGGAAACAGAGCCGTGCCCCTGTCCGTCTGCAGAAGCTGCGAGCTCTGCAGGGCCGCAGCCCCCTCCCGGGGTCGCAGGAGGCCCAGGCCCACCTCAGGCTCCGCCCCCCAGCGGCCAGGGGCGGGGCCTGCGGGCGAGGCTCCTCCCCCAACCCCTGCCGTTTGCAGCCGCCTGCCTCCTGGAGTCCGCGAGGGCCACAACCAGCAAGGCCTGCCGATGCTCTGCATCATTGAGTAGGGACATTAGGAAGGGCCTTCCTAGCAAAGGCAGCGCTGGCTGCAATTCTCCGGGGCCGAAATTGTCGACAGGTCTACCCTTCTGTCTGTGTAATAAGCTAAACACTCCCAAGCGGAATCCAGTCCTCGAGAACTCAGGACAACCTCAGCCAAGGTGCAAATGACAGTGCAGAGATCAGAGCAGCCGAGTTCAGCTGGGCCTCTGGGACGTTCTCCACAGCTTCTCCAGACAAACCTGCCGGATTTAGAAGGAGGTCGGAGCTTAACACACATAGTCGGTTTATAAAGAATTTTTTTAAGTCGCTGTATTTTAGGTGGTCGTTCACGTCTTCTCTCTCCATTTCCATCAGTTTCAATTATGCTCACATGTTTATTTCTCAATGTAAAGATTAAAGAATAAATAGCGTTAATTAAAAAGACAAGCTTTTAGAAATCAAAAAGAAAAATAAAGATCTCACTAGTCACTAATATTTATATAACACTACTGTATGCCAGCCTTGGGCTAAAAGCTTTAGCAAAAATTTCTCATCGAACTCAAAGCTTGAAGAAGTAAATAGTGTTATACCCACTTGATAAATGGAAAACATGAGGTTTATTACTTGAATAACTTATGCAACACCACACCTGGCAAATGAAACGGTTAATCTAACACAGCCTATTCTCTCACACCACTCCTTGTCAGTCTCCCAACAACACACAGTCCCCAACATGTTTAAGTACTCAGTTGCAACAGTAACTAAAAATCAAAACAAAAGCACACTAAGTTATTATGTATTTGTGTTTATCAGGTAGACAAAGATCAAGACGACAAACTAAACCTAATGTTCAGCAGTTGATGGGAACACTTACGCATTTATACAGTATTGTTGAGACTGAATGTTATGAACCCATTCAGGAAGGCAGCTCCTTCAAAATATATAAAAATATAATTTATTCATGCGCTTTGAAAATCTCCATTCCCAGGAATTAATTTAATGGAATTTTCAAACAAGAAAGGCAGGATAGAATGATATTAATCACAGTTTTGTTTATAAGAGTTTAGTATTGGAAACAGCATTGGTGTCCATTCATAAGTATCACCTAAATAAATTATGAAACATCCATATGATAGAATATTACTCCATCATCTAAAATAATGGTGTTGATCTGTACTTACAAACTGATATCTATGAAAAATTGTCTAGTCCAAAGAGCAATTGCAGGAATACATACAAAAGTATAAATATTTATCATACACACATGCAAAGCAAATTCTCTTGATGGATTATTTGTAAAACTGTATTTGTGCTGAATTTCAGATTAAGGAATTTCTAGGGGCTTTTACTTTCTGTGTGTTTTTATGTGCTTTTTGATTCTTTTTGAATAAGATCTATTTTTGTAAACAAGGTTATTTCCAAATGAAAAAGTGCATATATTTCTTTTTCTCATTTAACTTTGTATAGGATAGTGCTGGACCTGGGAATACGTTAAAATGATGAAACAATATCATGGAAAGAACATGAGTTTTAGCGGTACCATTTTGGCAATTTTTATTTTTGTATCTGTGTTAGCTGTCTATTGCTGCTGTGACAAAATATCACATAGTATGGTTCAGATGTTAAATATCCTTCAAAAACACCTGTGCTAAAGAAGGCTTGGCCCTCAGAACAGTGCTCCTCAGAGATAGTGGAACATTTGGGAAGTTGGATATTGTAAGAGATCCCTCAGTCACTGGGTATGTTGGCAGAGTACCAAGGTACAGTGGAGTCTTCCTAAGGGTCCTTTCTAGGCTCCTGTGGAAAGAGCCTAGGAAATGAAGTGCTGGGGTTTTACATTTAGGTTTTCTTTTCTTTTCTTTTTGTTTTGGTACCAGGGAATGAACTCATGATCTCATGCTTGCCAGGCAGGCACTTACACCGCTGAGCTAAATCCCTGGCCCTACATTTATTAAGGGTAAGAAATGAAGAAAAAAGAATTGTGCTGCAGAGTGATTGTGAGCCAATTAAAGTGGAAAAGAAATGTGCTCTGTACATGAAGCAGCTACTGGGAAAGAAAGGAAGAAAGGAAAGGAAGGAGGGAAGGAAGGAAGGAAGGAAGGAAGGAAGGAAGGAAGGAAGGAAGGAAGAAGGAAGGAATGAAGGAAAGAGAGAAGTCAGTGCCCATCATCTTTTATGTCCCCATTTTGACATCCGATTTAAGCCATCCTATTTCATTCTAGAAGGAAAGTGTTCTAGAAAAGGAGGGTGATGAGCAATATACAACAAGTGAAGAGCTATTTGCTCTTGTGCCAGAAGAATTGAAGACAGCACTCTCTGACTGGCATTGAGTTGCAGGGCTGTCCTGAATCTCTGCAGTGGACAGGTCACAAGGTCTTGGTCAGTCATTTTGCCATGCCCTAATCTCCTGCCCCAGGTGCTGTTCCCTGAATGGGAATGTGGGACTCTATCTTTTCTTCTGTTCTGTTTTGTTTTCTTTTGTTTTGTTTCCTGGATCATTGGCTGAGCAGTTTGCCCTGTCCTAAGTGCTGCCTCATCAGAACCCCAAAGGAATGGAGCCATTCCGTCACAGCTTCGTGTTGGAGATCACTAGGAAGCGGCTCTGAGCAGGATTTAAAATTAACTAACTCACTTTCTGTGTTTATCTGTGAGTCTGTCCTAGGCTAGGTCCCTTGTGGGGAGATGGGCTATGGGTTCATAGTAAATAAACGTCTATGAATCACTGGTCCTGGCTGAGACCTGTAGTGGCCTGTAATGCCAGAAACACCTCAAAGGGCAGGATAAGGCCACAGCTGAGGATACCTGGCTCCAAACCCAATTAAGTAGATAGAGACTGAAGCTGCAGGCTTCTCACTCCTACCATAAATATCATTATGGAGATATGACAGCTCTCCTAAATTGTCATAATTTACTACTTGGAAAACTCTGAAGTGACTCCCAAGGTCTTGATCAGCTCCTGGCTTTCCTCAGTAACCCCACTCTTTGTTTGAAAATCTAATAAATATGGGCTGCCCGGAGGAGCTCTCTGTCTCAGCCCCCAGAGTCTCGAACTCTGCTAGAGTGTTTTGATCCTCCTGGAGCCCTAAAATCATACTACTTGTCTCATTTATTTAAGCCTTCACTGCACACTTGTTTGACAGATTGGGGATCGTGGCCAGATCCCTGATAGCCTGGAATTTCCAAAACAGGGAACTAAGAAACCTTTTGTTTTGTGAGTTAATTGCTCTGAATATTTTGTTATAATGAAGAAAGCTGACTAAAAGACCCCATAGCATGGTCTTAGACATGAACCAGGCAATGGAATCATGTTTAATTGGTATTTAGAAGACAATGAAGGTGCCACATGATACTCATTAGGACAGATAACACAAAAACGAACGTTAGCAAGGATGTGGAGAGGTTGAAACCTTGATATAATGCTGATTGGCATATAAAATGATACATTCACTGTGGGAAACAGTTCGAAAACTTCATAAAGTTAAACATAAATTTACCATATCATCCAGAAATTCCACTTGCTGGTACAGACCCAAGACAATGACAACAGTAACTCAAATATTTCTATGCTAATACAGCAATACTTTGGTTGTGAACTCAGTTTGTTCCAAATTCATATTTGAACACTGAAAGTTTGATAGCTAAACATATTTGTCCCAAAGAGATAACAGAA